GCCTCTGAGGTTTAGAAAAATAAGCAAAAGACAACTTTATTTTTTGTTTTAATTGAGAACACATTAATTTTGACATTACAGAGGAATACAGAGTGTCTCTAAGAAAGCAAAATAGAAAAGAAGGTTTATTTTTAACAAAAAATATATGTCAAATATATCCAAGTGATGATGTATTACCAGACTCTGGGTTTCTCTGCCATGTCAAAGGTGTTTGTTCACCAGTAAAATAAAGGTGTTACCAGCAGGTCCTGAGAACTTCTCTGATTCTTTTGATCTTCTGTATCACACAGAGCAAAATAAGCTCAGGACAGGCTCTGCCCCAGCCAGGTGCTGTCAGGGGTGAGCAGAGGAGCCCAGGAGCTGATGCACAGTGTGGCATCATCCCTGCTCTGGCCTTGGTCAGGCCAGCAAAAATGTGTATTTTTTGAATGGAATATGCAAAAGGAAGAGATGAATCTCAGTTTGGGAATTGACAGTTTCAGCTTTGGCACTTTGGAGCTGACCAGCACTATAAAGGATTCAGATGAAATCTTCTATTCAAATAAAAACCCCAAACTTGTTTCGTTCTTTATGTTTCCAAATATAAAGGCCCAAATGAAAAGTTGTATATTGTGAAATGCCCCATGCTTTTTCCACAGGATAACTTTTTACCTTCTTTTAGTTTCTATCATAAATCAAGGAAAATGGTAATATGAAACTGCTGTGTTTTGTGGGTGGGTTTTCCTTTCAGTGTCATTCAAAGTAGCCCTTAAAACACAGACAAAAGAATCATAGTTTAGGATGTGAAGGAAACAATGCAGCATTTTGGAAGACAATGCCAGACCTTTTCTTCCAGTGTTATGTGGATATTCCAACTTATTATAAGGTCAATTCCCTTGAAAATTCCTTCTCCATATGGATTTGTATTCCTGTTACGTTCTTCCCACCATTCCTGGCTCAGATTTAACTATACACAGGAGGAGCTTGGCAGATGTTTTTTGCAGTTTTTTTACACTTAAGAAGTCTGTCTACTGTTAGGTTTCCTTTCTGCCACTTGTTCCAGTAATCCTGAGAGCTGGTAAAACACTGCTTTTCCAAGGGAAGAATTGGAGTTGAATTCCACTGAACAAAGTGCCTTGTTTGTGCAGGATTAGAACATGCCAGGAGATGAGAGGCATTTATCAGCAATGACAAATAATTTGTGGCCAGTGCTAGGAATGTCCATAAATGTCCTTTCCTTCAGCTAGTGCATCTTCAGACAAACAGGGATAATCCAACACCTGCCTTTTCATGGGAACGGCTGAGTTCAGAGTGAAGAAATCATCTGTACAGAGATACATTCACATTTTCCCCCAACATCAAAATATTTAAATGTCACTGTATTTAGCAACTGTTTTCCAAAGCAGGCTTGTGTCTTTATATAATCTGACTTTTCTGGATCTTGTAAACTTACTAATACACAAATAAAGCAGAGTATAGTAGAAACTGTAGATGACAGTGAAATCAGTGGACTTACTGCTGTTACCCTTCTGAAAACCTCTCTTTTCCCTACCCCTCTCTTCTTTCAGAGGATGAACAGAGAGAGAAATCTGTCTCCCACCACACTGTTCAGCAGCTCATAGTGGAGAAGGAGCAAGCTCTGGCTGATCTGAACTCAGTGGAGAAATCCCTGGCAGATCTTTTCAGGAGATATGAGAAGATGAAAGAAGTCCTGGAAGGGTTTCGGAAGGTGAGTCACGTTAACATCTCCTTTAAAGAGCAGAGTTGAGCAGATTCTGTGTACCAGGAAGTAGTGCTGTGCTGCTGAACAGAAGGCAGGACTTGTGTTTCCAGCTGATTCTGATGTCCTGCACTACAAACCATAATCCTCAGGTGAAGGATTGCAGCCAGCTGTCAAATGCAAACAGAAAAATTGTAAAACTCTTTGCATTGTGTGATATTCTCCTTCAGGTGGCCTCTGTGGGGGTGTCAGTGTTGGACTGAAGCCCTTCAAACAGCTGTGTGTGACTCCCACAAACAGGTGCCTGTCCTGCATTTTAACCTCTTGGATTAAATTTGATGTCATCTTCTCTTTTAAGAATGAAGAAGTGTTGAAGAAATGCGCGCAGGAATATTTGTCACGAGTAAAGAAGGAAGAGCAGAGGTATCAGGCACTCAAAATTCACGCTGAGGAAAAACTGGACAGGTAATTCAGTCATGGATTCACAGAATGGTTTGGGTTTGAAGGGATCTTAAAACCATCTTGTTCACCCCCTGCCATGGGCAGGGATACCTTCCACTAAGCCAAGTTGTCTGAAGCCCTGCCCAGCCAGGCCTTGGACACTTGCAGGCTGGTGCATGGATTGTACACATATTTTTTCAGGAGTTCATGGTGCAGGTGGATTCCCGTGGCTAGACCTCACATCCCAAACTGCTCCTGCAATATGTAAAGCACAGGCTGCTCTGTGATGGAGGGTGGAAGGAAATGCAATAATAAGAATTTCTGCAATGTGCTGGTGTTTCTTTGAGCTCCTGACCATACAGAACGCCTTAAATTTCTATATTTAACTAATGTCTTTACGTTTGTATTTTCATGGGAGGATCAAGAAGGAAGCCATTAATCAGTTTCTTTTTTCTAGATTTCGATGTAATGACCAATTAAGCACTTCTAGGAGTCATGTTCAGGATTCATAGTACAGTTCCCTGAACTGGAGATCAGGTTTGGAAACTGCCATAAAACACTTCTACCTGAGTCATAATTGTGACCCCAGCAGAGATATCTGAGAGAAGCATGAAGGGAGCAGCACAGACAGTAAGAAAAGAATCTGCAGCCCCTGCTGAGCAAGAGGGGGAGTTGTGAAGCCTCTAGGGACAAGTGTTAGAATATACCCAAGATGTGCAGAAGGCAGCCCTGCCCTCTCCCCCATTTGTTGAAGTGCTGTCCACCCTTGGGCACCCTCTGCCCTTCCCTGTAGAGAGCCTGATGTGACCAAACCCTGTGTGTTTTTTGCAGAGCCAATGCTGAAATTGCACAAGTGAGAGGCAAGGCCCAGCAGGAGCAGGCAGCGTACCAGGCCAGCCTTCGGAAGGAGCAGCTCAAAGTGGATGCCTTGGAGAGAACACTGGAACAAAAGGTAAATCAGGAATCTGCTCCTCCCAGAGCCAAGCTCTGCCTGAGGATTGTCCTGCAGCTCACTGGCCCTGGGGACAGCAGCACTCCCCAAATTTTAAGGCAAAACCCCCGTGTGCACCAGCTGGACCCGGGTTTGATTTGAGCCCAGGTGTTTGGGGCTGGCTCAGCCCAGGCCTTGGTTTGCTTCAGTTCTTAGGTTTCAGACCTTGCTTTAGCTTTTCTCTCAGGTTCTGTTTCCCTTTTTAGTGCTAGCTGTAATTCCAGTGCTAATTCCAAAGTGTCTGTAGGAAATGCCTATTTATATCTCTCTGTTCTCCAGCTCAGCCAAGGGAGCTTGCTTTGGCACAGAACAGCTCGTCCTTGCTTGCAGCTCTGCAAGGCAGGGTGAAAATAATGGAAAAAATAGAAAAGTGCAGCCTAGAAACAAATTTCCACTATGTATTCTTGTGGTGTGCTGGGAATGACTGCTATGAAGCTGTCTGCTTTGGTGCTAAATTTGATTTATTAAAACTGGAGGAGCTGTATTTGGAAAAAAGGAAGCATTTGTTTGAATGCATGCAGCAGTACCATGAGTATGAGCACTTGGTTGTACTATATATCACATATATCTGTATGTATAGATCTCCTGTTCTTAGCATTGCAGAAAAGCTAATTTTCCCACACCTCTCCCACTAGTAAGATAATACTAAAATTTTTAAAAGCCCTCACCTTAATGCAGCAATCCTTTTCATAATACTTCATATTTTATTTTCCAGAATAAAGAGATTGAAGAGTTAACAAAGATTTGTGATGAACTGATTGCCAAAATGGGGAAAAGCTAACTTTTAACCAAATTTCTGGACTTCGCTATTGAGTGCAATATGACCATTGGCACACTGATGTCCATACATTTATGTGGACAGGTTATATTTTCACTTTTTCGTATGCACTACTGTATTTTCTTTCTAAATAAAGTTGATTTAATTGTATGCAGTACTAAGATGACTATCAGAATTTCTTGCTATTGTTTGCATTTTCATAGTATAATTCATAGCAAGTTGATCTCAAAGTTCCTGTATCAGGGAGATTGTCAAGTTCTCTAAGAAATTACAAATTGCTGATCCTAGCCTTCCCTTTGTACATGAGTTCCCATGTTGGATGTCTTTTGGATTTAATATAAACATGTATTACTTGCATGGGGACTCTTGCCTTAAGGAATGTAAACTTTATCTGCATTTGCTGATTTGTAAAATAAAAATCTAAAAAAAAAAAAAAAAAGGAAAATGCATGTCACAAATGAAATTCTCTATTGTAAATAAATTTTTTTCGTTGAAAGTTGAAGCTAAGTATGGCTCTGTTTTTTGTCCTTCACTTGCTTATTTCATCACCAGATGCTCTTGGGAATTAATTCCTCCACAGAAAGCACTTCATGGGTCACTGCCTGGAACACTTTGTGGGTCACAAGAGTCTGCTGCTTATGTGCACATATCTAGGTCTATATCTTACTGTCTCTCTAAATATATATATGTGTGTATAAGTGTTGGATTTGGACCACTCAAGTCTCAAGCACAGGCTTAATCCTCCAAAATATTTAATGCTCTGACCCTGATCCAGCAAATCCCATGGGCAAATGTAATGAGGCTGTTGGAGGAGTCGGAGGCTGTGGCATGTGGTGACAGGATGGTTTTTAAGCATGTCTGGCACTGGAAGGTGAATGCATTTCCTGCTCCTGGAAGAATTTGCTGGTGGAGCTGAGGTTGGTGTGATCAGAGGTGCAGCCGGAACAAGCTCCATAAGTAGCACTCTCGAACACCTCTTTATCCTGTAAATTATCCTCTGCACAGGATTAGGGATGTAGGAGAAGCATTAAGGCTCTAATAGCAAACAAACTGCTTTCTCTGGCTAATGGTGCATCTCTTGGATCTCCATGATGTGGACAGTCTTCAGCCTGGTTCTTGTCAGCTCCCTTTTTGTCCTCAAAAGTAAGTCAACTCCTTTTTCTTTTCTTTTTTACTTCATTTGCTTTTCCTACCTCAGGCATGGCTGAGCCTCTTTGCTGTTCTGGGCTCCTCTCCTGGGTTGGGTTGGTTTCAGATCAATTTGTGTGTGTGGTTAGCAGCAAAGAGCTGCACCTCTGTAAAGATAAATATGTGTACTAACAGATTCAAATGTTCCCACTGATAGCAAGGGTGAGATTTCTGCTCTGCAAGCTTCAAGTGTGGTATTCTAAATATCTTTCTAATTCATGCTTACCTTTAAAAATAGTGCAGTGCAGTGTAGTCAGTGTAGTTTGAGGCAAGGAAAAGAAAGAGGATTGAGGTGTGGTTGTAATGTTTAAGCAAGAGTAAAACTCAAGATACACTGTTGTACTTTCCAAACGAATTGATACTTTAGGAGAAAAGGAAAACTGGATTGTAAGATTTTATGTGTATACAATGTGCTTTTTCATGGTACTGTCGACCAAAGATCATGATGGAGGGGGAAAAAAACAATGTGTGGGCTCTGCTCTGAAAGTGTTACACGAAGATATGGATGCAGTTACAGAACATCAAATGTTTCTTCTATTATTTTAAGTGCAGATTATAACAACTAAATAATCTGTGGTTGATTCTATTTTTTTTAATCAGTATCTGAACCATTTCTAAAAAGAAGTATTGTTAAGATTTGCAGACTCTTTGGATTTTCCAAAAATTTCTTGCAATTTTTTGATGCGTGCTTGAAACCATATAGAAAGATTGATATTTTAAAATATTTCTTGTGAACTCTAAGTGGTCTCTTCTCCCTCCATCCAGGTGAAGCACTGCAGTGTTACACCTGTGTAGGTTCTAGTGATGACGACTGCAACAGACAAGGAAGTCAGCAGTGTCCAGGCCATGCAGATGCTTGTGCAGTCATTAGAGGACAAGCAAGTAAGTGTCACAAATGTGTCAGACTCGTTACATTTGTCACAAAAAAAATAAATAACCAGTGTTGGAAAGATAACTTAGTCTCCATAGTAAGGTAAGAGGAAAACCGAGCGTAAATGTCTCCTCTCAAAATAAACCCCATTAATAAATCTCAATCCTGGTTTTGCTGACACAAAATCCCACTGGCAATGATTTGTTGGTGTGCCACAATGAGCTGCACCCATTCTTTGTGAAAACTGGAAGGAAACATTTTAAGTAGTGCCCACTTCTTACTTAAATGACTGAGCTGGAAATTAGAATGGAAAAGAAGCCCCTGCACTTGGGCACATCCAAAGACATTTAAGCTGCACCAGTTGCCTCTAAGAAAAATCAGAGTTATTTAAGCGGGAGCTTGGTGTGCTGCCGTGTGTTGTGGCCGTATTCATTTACTTGTGAAGATCAGCCAAAGCCAAGGCTCAGTGCTGGTGCTGAGGGGGTGCAGGTGGGAGCAGGTGGCCATTTGCAGCCCCTCTGGGCTCACTGTGGCTCTGTTGCAGGTGGCATCATGAAGTCCTGCTCGTTCAGGTCCTTCTGCGAGCGCGCCCGGAGGGACGGGTCGAGGGCGCCCGGAGTGAGCGTCCACTGCTGCTACTCCAACAACTGCAACGCCAAGAGCCTGGCTCCCAGGGTCACCAGCTCCAGCAGCTACTGCTCCCTCCTCATCTTCACACTGCTCTGGCACCCCTTGTTGAAGCTGACATGAGGGGCAAAATGAAAACAAAAATAAAAAATAAGGGTATCCTGAAGCAACAACTCTGCCTTCTTAGCAAGGGATGGTGATATCTCCTAATCGTGCTCCATGTACCATATATCTCACTAGGCAAAAAGCTGTAGGAAGACCTGACAGATGTTTAGATAAAAATTGTTTCATCTGCTAAATAGGTCTTGGTCTCTGTGTAAGAAATGGTGCCCTGTTGTTTATCCTGAGGGGTTGACTGTGCAAATACATAACATTTTCCTGCAATTTAGATAAGGAGAAATCTTTGCTGCAGGTAGCCTGGTAGTGAGGTAAAGGGAAAATGTCTGCCAAATGCTGTTTACTGTAGGCAGACATTCAAAAGCAAGCTAAAATTTTCAAGCACAAAGTGACTGAAAATTCTAGCAAGCAAGTTAATCTTAGAGAGAGCATTGGCATACTGGAAACCAGGAAACTTGAAATACAGATAATTTAGTATTAATGCAAACTGGTAAGAGAAGGTCATGAAGAGAATAATGCATGGAGGTACATTGTATTTTATAGGATGTGTTCCTGGCAGGGGGGCTGGAACTGGATGGTCTTTAAGGTCCCTTCCAACCCAAACCATTCCATGGGTCTATGCTTATGTGTATTTCCCTGGGAAAAAAAACACCTTCCAGTCTTCTTTTTTCTGATCCTTTGAGAATCTTACCACAAGAAGCAAAAAGAAGATTTTGGAAGTTGTTTTTGAACTCCATCCAAAGATTGGCTCCCCTATCTCCCCTGCTGGTTTTAAAAGCAAGTGATTAATCCCTGTCTTGTAGGCAAATTATAACTTGAGTTTATAATTCTTGTTTATGTTTCAGTTGTGTAGATAATTCTCCACTGTCCAAAAGTGCAGTCTTTGGGAGTAAGAGTGTATGTATCTATATATACCTCCCCCTTCAGTGATGTGATTGAGTTGAGCTGGTTTATGTATCCTTTTCATTTTGCAAAGTGAATACAATTACTTGGAGGTCTTCAGAGGCATAAGGGACTAAGTCAATATTTTTAATAAAGCCATTCATGGCAGTTTTACCAAGTAAATGATCCAGAAAGGATCAAATAGTAGAAGGCATTGTGCATCACTACCTCCTTTGATCCAAAACTCAGAGCACCAGGCAAGGAGATGAGTGGTATTTGTAGATTTTAATGTCCAGCTGTGATGATCTGGTCCAACCCCTGGCACACAACATGCACAGGATTGGCTTAAAGTCCAGCTGGTGTAACTGAAGTAGAAGTGGTCTTTCCAGTTCTAGTTTTAGTTGCCTAGTAGGAAAAAGGTTAGGTCATCAAATCTATGGAACTCACAAAATATGTGGCAAAGTAATTTTTCCCCTAGCTTTGTGTTGTGACTTTTTTCAGTATAATTCTTTGAAAAATCAGTTCTAGGCAAGGCAGTTTGGTCTATTTTTAGTCTCTAGGCACCAGTCTGATAAAGCTGTTGAATAGAAAGATTGCAACAATGCAGCAGATCTTGGCTGAGAATGTTAATTTGGACTCCAGCGTCTCATCTGTATAAAAAACACTTAAATTGGTGTCAGTATTTTTCATTTCATTCTCAGCTTGAAGCAGTTCCTTCAATCCTTCTGCTACAGGAAACAGGTATTGATTGTATCTTTATCTTTGTATGGTTCTGTAATGATAAATCTGTATTGAATGTAATCTCTGTATATGCTCACTGCATTTCCTTAATGAGAAAATAAATTACATGCAATGGCTGACATTGTCTCTTGGTAAACAAAACTGCTTCTTTTAATTGGGATTTCCAGCTGCATCTGGCGCTCTGTTTTCCTGCAGGAATCCTGTTGTGCTTCATTGTTAGGTTTTGGTTTTTTTAATGTGAGATATATTTCTTAAATCTGTTGGATAAAATAGTGGATGTTGGTAGTGTTCTTGCTGCTACATCTCCATGGTAAAGTAAGAAGGTAAATCTCTATCCTCTTGACAAACACCATCTGTCATTCCTGACGGCAGCCAGGACTGGGATCCTGGGGCAGCTCCCACCGCCTCCATCCAGCTCTGCCTCCCAGCTCATCACGGGCCCTGCTTTGCTTTTTACAGCAAAAAAAAGATATTTTTCCTGCCCAATTATGACCCTGAAGTGTGCCTGCATGTGGATATCGAGGAAGGATAAACCACTTTTGTGGATTGGTGTTTTCAGAGCAGTTTCATGATGGTTCTTGGCATAAGCATTGACGGGAAGACAAGCACAGAGATAAAAGAAATAAAATAGAAGGAATATTTTTCAAACTCCACTTAAAATGCAGAAAACATTTTAAAGTTTTTATTGCCATGACTGTGCAGAGCTATTCCCAGTCACAGGTGCAACAGAAAGTTGGTTGTTCTGAGGGTAATTCCTGCTGCAGCCACAAGCTCCTCCCTTCCTTAATGTCAACAGCAGAGAGGCTGATACCGAAATGCTTTCTGCTGCAACTCAGAATGACAGGACTTCTTTTTCAGCTCTTGTAGTAGCTGGATTTATGTAGTGGCTCAGTGGGGTAAGTGCTGGATTTAAGTGTAACTCTGCTCTCTCACCTCTAAGGAAGGCTCTCCAAAGAGATTCATGACTTCTAAGGAGAGAAAATCTCAGTTGTAACTACAGCCCCAAATTATAATTGGTATTGATCCTTAATATTCTCGGTTTTTGCTGTGCAAATAGCATTCCTTTGTTTTCCTGGTCTTCTCAAGGGCAGCAAGAGCCTCTGGAACTTCTCAGGAGGGCACAGCTGAGCAGAGTGCCTTGAGCTCTGTAAGAGTGAGAATTTGCCATTTAATTTGTGCCAGTGTTCATCCACACCTGGCTTTTCCACAGTGACTACAAGGCACCAAGTTTCCCTTGTTCTTGGTGAGGAAGAAGCAATTTTTATGGCCTTTAAAATCTAGGTCAGACACAATCAGCTCAATACTGGCTGTGCAATTTGATGAAAGTTTAAAGTACATCTTGGTATCACAAACCACAGTTTATTTTTTAACCTTTTTCCCTCATGTGAAATTTTAGTCATGCGTTTCTGTCCACTAGGGATTAAACAAAAAAATCATGCTTGCAGCCTGTGTTACCATGCATTGTGTGCAAAGAAAGCCCAACTGTGACAGATTTCATTGTGAGCATCACTCCAAAGAGTCTTGACCTTTCTGGACCTGCAGATGTTTAGGACACAGCCCTGTACTGTTGGCTGTGGTTGCTAACATGCCCTTGGGGAGGAGTTTTATGCTTCTGAAATCAGAATTCCTGATGGCAGTTCCTGGAGCCCAAGGTTATCACTCTGCATGCACATACACTCCCTCTTATCACCCACAGCCAGCAGTGCACGGGGTATTTTTAATTGGTTAATTTGTGACATGCTCAGATGTGGATTATTTACTCCCAACAGAGGGGAAAAATGATAGCAGTGTTAATCCCATAAAGAGTGTAGTGAGAAATTCGCTGTGTTGGTGGTGTAGGTACAGGTGTACTTTCTTAGCATCTGAGAAAAAAAAAACCCACAAGTGAAAAGCCAGCGTGGGATTGAGATTGGAGAGAACCACAGAAGCAGCTCGTGGTGCTTGGCAGGGTGGCTTCATGGAAAGTAGGACTTGTCAAAAACATCTCGCTTGGGTTTTTGCTGATAAAGGCAAATACATGGATTTTGCAACACATTTCAGATAAAATCACAGTCGTGATACACAGACTGAGAGTTCAAGAGCCAGGAGAGTGAAAGACTGCAAAAACAAGTTCTCAGTGGAAAATCTTTCCAAGTGGTGTCTTGACACAGGCGAGCTCCCATCATCTCCCCGACAACCTCGGGACGGTGCCATGAGAAGTGTCACAAAAAGAAGGGGCTGTCAAAGCTCTGACACTTTATCTGCATGGAGATATTCCTGCATGTTGCCATAGGGACGGGTTTCCAAGGGAGACAGGTGATGGATGCATTTTTCTGGAACAAAACTAAAGCAGAGGAATGAGGGTGGGAGGATGGGGCTGAGCATTTTATCACAGAATCCCAGGATGGTTTGGGTTGAAAGGGACCTTAAATCCCATCCAGTGCCACCCCTGCCATGGCAGGGACACCTCCCACTGTCCCAGGTGCTCCAACCCCAATGTCCAACCTGGCCTTGGGCACTGCCAGGGATCCAGGGGATCCACAGCAAATCTGGGCACCCTGTGCCAGGTCTGCCCACCCTCCAGGGAACAATTCCTTCCCAATATCCCATCTAACCCTGCCCGATATTTTAGCCACCCTACCGTCCTTTCTTCCACACTTAGCACTAGCAATCCCTTAAGGAGTGCACTTTTCCTAAAATTCCTTACATCTTTTATAGCAGCCTGACTTAGCCCCACAGGCAATATTTCTCTTAAAACAACCCTTCTAACTGCAGACCCAAAGGACTTCCAAGTATGAAATAATGTTTGACAGGTGAAGAAGAATTTTTCTCTTGAAGCCATTCCCCTTCTCTGAGGACTTCCTGCCTTTCATCCTCACCAAAATGTTTTTTTTTCTTCTGAATGCTCAAGGGGGGAACATATTTGGATACTGGCAGTGACTCAGCCAAAAAAAATAAGACTGGTATCCAAATCACTGATTGCTACTGCCTTCATTGGAGACATTCAATGGTGTGTTTTAAGCAATGTCAGTCATCCTCAGTTTCTGATTTTCAGTGAAAAAAAAGTCAGTGTCTGTAGATCTGGAGCTCAGAGGGACTGGCTGAGCCTCTTCATCCAGATCAGAGCCCGATTTTCCCTAAAGAAACTTGATTTCTGGATTTGCTCCTGTGGTCTCCCAACCTTAAGAGAGCTTTTGCAACATATTCTTGAGATCCTGAGGATATTCATCTCCTTTTAGCAACCTTTCTTTAACCCCTTTTACAATTTTTGTAGGGCTTTCCAATGTAAGTAAAATCTCCACAAATGTGTAGTTATTAAATTCACGTTCTCATCCTCACGTGTCACTGGAATGACATTTCTGATAGGAGGCTAATCTGAATTTCCTTTTCACACTCTGGTGATC